GGCCGGCAAGGGCATGCGCGGTGCTCCCGGGGGCGGGGCCGGCCATGCGCCTGGGGCTGGCACCTGCCAGCCCAGATTGCTCCGCGGGCGCATGTAAAGAGCCCGGCGGGCGCCATGGCGCCCACGGGCACTGGGTTGGGGACCATGGATCTGCACAATCTTAAGACCACTCTTGATGGGTAATGCCCCAAAACACACACATTCTGCTTTTAAACTGTAATGGACAGGCACTATGTGCACTTGCCCTATTCCAAACATGTAGGCTATGGCTACAGTTTCCCTGTACATACCCATTCTCGCCTGTGCCCCCAAGCTGGTGCCTCTGACTCAGAGGCAGCAGCGCATAAGAGCATGGGGAGAGAAGGGGGTGTTGACTGCATGTAACCCCGCATGTAACCCTGAGTCCAGGCTCATTGGGCGCCAGCCAGGGAGCCGTGCAGAGAACATGCCCCAGCACTCCCGCTAGTCTCTTCTGAAACGCTCTCAGGGCTGGAATCAGGGACAAGAGGAGCCTCTCCCTCAGTCCTGCCCCGCCCCCCGCCGCCCAACCCCCCCGAGCGGAGCACGCAGGCGCAGGCTGCGCTGTGGGGGAGAGAGACTCAAGCTACGCCTCGATTGGGGATCCGGTAGCAGGACAACGCGCATGCCCATTTCAGCCCGGGCTTGGGCTGCCGCCATCCGGGTCCTGGCGGAGGGAGGGAGCAAGTGGCTGAGGGGGTTTCATTGTGCGTGCGGCTGTCGCGCTCACTCGCCCTAAAATGGCCGCCGCTGCCGCCGTCTCGTCTCCCGCTACCGCCGGAGGTGCCGCAGCGCCTCCCGCTGCTTCGGGGGCAACACAGATGGAGAGCAAGAAGATCACCGAGCTGCGGGTCATCGACCTCAAGTCGGAGCTGAAGCGGCGCAACCTGGACATCACCGGCGTGAAGACCGTGCTCATCTCCCGGCTCAAGCAGGTGAGAGGCCGGCGTAGGCCGCGCGGCCTGGCCAGGCCGAACTTTGCTCTCTGGCTGCTGGGCCTTGCGCGGCGCAGCTGGGCGGCCCGGCTCCGCGCTCCGGCGGCCAGCGAGCCGCTGCCGTTCCCGGCGAAGGAGGCTCTTGGCCTGCAGGGAACGCCGCGAGCGAGCCCGCCTCACACCTGCTTTACATCCTTGTGGTTGGGGGTGGCGACTGGGCGTGGTGCCCAGACCGCAGGTGCCCTGGGCTGGTGCCATCGGGCCGGTTTCGGCAGGGGTCTGCTTATTGACAGGACAGCAGCTTCGTGCATTTGCCAACTTGCTACCAAAGTCGGGCAGCGACTTCTGCGAGCCGTGTCCTGCGGGACTGACCCCGGCACAGATGGGCAGGCGCCTCTACGGCACTGGAGCCCCCCTCCCAATGCAAAACAGCCCTAGTCCTTCTTTGGTCACCGCTCAGAGTTGGCATAGATGGCTGATGCTATTTGCTTAGCTTGATACGCTTGATGGATGTATTGTCTCGGCACCCTTCTCTATTGGGTCTATATAGGGTAGGTAGCGGAAGGAGGTCTGCTTTTTTCAGCTCTCAAACATCCCTGAGCATCGAGGTATGTCTGCCACGAAATTACATGTGTGTGAGGGGTGAGGGTTGCCAGCCTGTGCAGATTCAGGAATGTTCTTGTAACAGTATTTTTTTATGGCTTTGACCTGCCCAAAATGTTGTCATTACATTTAAATTGCCCTGTAGCTTTCCTTTTTGTGTGAGCTATGTTACATTTTTACAAAATGTAACTCTAATAATTGAGGTTGCTTCCTCCACCACTCTTTAGAAGAGGATCTAATCTGAATGTCAAATACTTTGTATTTTGGAAGAACAAATAAACTAGTTTCTGTGGATGTTGATTATCAATCTCTAGTTAAACTTGAAAAAATATTGATTATTTTGTCTTATTTAGGCTATTGAAGAAGAAGGAGGAGATCCAGATAATATTGAAATAACTGTTTCGGCTGATACACCTAACAAGAAGCCAACGAAAGGCAAAGGTTAAAACCTGTTAATGTAAATTATATTATGAAAAACCTATGGAATTGAAATTTTTAAAAAAGTCAGTTTTAAAAATAAGACTTCTTCACCTGTTGTGAATGCTGAGAAATAGTCCTTGCACATATCTGCCCAAAATTTGAGTAGTTGAGCTTGATACAATTTTGTCC